ACTGACAAGTTCCTCTTGCTGAGACATTTTGGATGACAAGGAACTCTAGCCCATCTGCTTCCCAGGGCCAGCTCTCTCACACATTGTCACTGTTCCTCGAAGTCTCTGTGTCTGAGCCATTCACCCCTTCTATTAAGTAGATGGTCCTTGCCTTCTTTTCGTTGGAATGAATGATTCATGTTCTTGATCTGACTCAGACATCTCCAGCCACCCCATTTCCACCCTTCCCCCTCACCCAGGCCCTTGGTCCACAGGTCATGAAGTGCACAGGTCATCCCTGGGCATTCCATCTTCTCAGGTGTACCATCACCTTAGCGTTTCCCCCTGTGTTCTGGAAGCATCCCCGAGCTGGCCTTTGGGTTGCTAATTAGGTTTTTTTCCATTCCATTTCTCCCCTTTCTTATCAGGCTTCCTCCATAGAAGCTCTTCACGTCAGGAAATTGTTTTTTATCTTTAATTGCTTACTTACTGGCTCCCGGTTGTTTGCTCACGCTAATGAGGGACTAAACCAGCTGCTGCAGCTCCCTTAGACTAGGGCTGGCTGATGCTGAAGAATCACACACAGGCTGCCCCTCAGGCTCAATCATTAAATGCCTTTTACTGAAATGGGCAAACGAGGCTAGGCCAGACTCAGCACTAGTGAGAACTCACCAGAAGACTCCCCTTGCTGGTAAGGTACATGGCTTTAGAAGTCCTCAGAACTAAAAGCCCTTTGCATTTGGGATACAAGGGGTATCTGTAACAGGCAAAAGAGGGAGTGATGCTCGTGTCCTGACCCTGCATGTTAATGTGTTTCTCACAGCACCCCCAAGTCCCCACTGCCCCTTCATCTGTTGCAAGCACACTCAGGACATCTGTTTTCTTTACAGTTACACTAACTATAGGGAATTAGCAAAGATGTTTCCATGGAGACAGAGAACCATGGAAGATCCCCACACTGTGCTAATCTGCCCACCCCACAGGGTTTATAATAGTAGTTCAGGGTTACCTGTGACTCTGCTTCTCCCTCAAGTTAGGATCTGATAGCAGCAAACCTCCTACTCAGATTGGATAACAGCATTGCAACCTCAGTGGTCCTTCTAGGAAAGCACAGAGTCGAGAATCTATGTCGGGCTTGATTCTGATCTACTGTACTTGTCTACTGTACTGTACTGATCTACTGTACTTGTCTACTGTACTGTACTGATCTACTGTACTTGTCTACTGTACTGTACTGATCTACTGTACTTGTCTACTGTACTGTACTGATCTAATGTACCGTATTTGAAAGGATGCTGGAGACAGGTGGTGGGACAAATCAGTCTACACCTTTTTCCACATGCTAGCCTGGATGCTGGCCTGGCTCCTAAACTGGGCATCCTTCGGGGCTCTTTAGATCCAGGCCTTCAGTTCCTGGAAGCTCCTCCTATGGCATAACACTCCTGGTTCCATCTTTCTAAAGTAATGGTAATTACTCTGTTAGTTAGTGTAAGAGAAAGTTGGGTGCAATGTTTTTCTCTTAAGTCAACCTCAAACTCAACACTCATTTACAGCACTTTCCTCTGTCTTCAAGAGACAGCCCTGCATGAACTCTCCCTGCCCCTCCCCACCCACCCACCCCCATGAGGTTGGAGGGGAAGGAAACAGCAATTCCCAACAGCTATTTGTAAACCCTTTCGAAAATGTTTTGATGGACTCTTAACCTGAGATTTCTGCTGAGGTTCTGAGCTGCCAAATCTTTCCAGGTGCAATAGGCAGACTCTCCCTGAGCCACTCAGAGTTGGGCTGTGTCGGCAGGGGAGGGCGATGGACTGCGTCTCTCAGTGCAGATCACTTCACTTACCCGAGTCTGTTTGTTCTCCCAGTTTCAGAAAAGTCCAAAGACGATGCCGCTGTGGATTTTCTCTCTCCGACACTCTCTGTGACCTGTGGGAAGGCCAAAGGGACTTTATTCCTAGAGAAACTGAAGCAAGGTGAGTGTCTGCCCTTCTGATGCTCTGGTCTGGAGATGATGGGTGGGCCGGAAGGGAAGAGTGTGCCCATTGGGTCACTTGTCAAGAAACAGACCCTGCCAGCCAGGCTGTAAGGGAAAAAAAACAAAAGCTATGACAAAAGGACTTCCCAAGAAGGAGTTTCCAGACTTTTCCATGGAGATGCATCTGGAAACCACATGAGTTGTCTGTTTATGAGCTCTATGAAGAATCTGCCCCCGCTCCCTCAACGCCTTGTAGGGATTATGGTCCCCTGAAGCTGAGAGAGGGAGCTTCTGCTCCCACCCCAGAGGAATCCCCTCTTGGTCTGGGAAGGTGGAAAGCCATAGTGGAAAGGCTCAAAGGTTTGTGGAAGGGTCACAGAAGATCCATGTGGATCCTGGAAAAGTCTGTCTTTTTCTTACAGGATCCTCAAAAAAGTGCATTCAGAATGAGGCAGGGGCTTGGCTCACTGTAAAGGAATTTTTAAAAGAAGGGGGAAAGGCCACGTCAAAAGACTGGAAGAGGGATATACGTTGTGATGGGAAGACGTTAAGATTTCTGGAGCAGGTACAGTAATGACGGAGGGTGGTGGGTTCATATCCTGGAAGAGTGGGTGGATTTCAATAGCAAAAATGTAGACGAATTCCCATTGTGATTCAACGGCATGACTTACAAAGAACCGGATGTTCAAACAGAAAAAGTTGTAGGTGACAAAGTTAAGAAACACAGATAGATGCACGTGATGAAGAGCTAGTGCAAGCAGAATGGGCTGAGAGTAACGGAGGCCAAGGCTTTCGTGATCAAGTAAGACTTAAGAAGCTTGGCCTGGTAAGTTTGAATAGGTAGCTTGAAAGGAAACTAGCCAAAGTCCAAAAATTCCTTGTGTCCCCAATCTGATAAGCCTTTACTGAAAGCCCGGTTCATGTGGCCCCTATGAGATGTTTTCAGCCACCTCAACCGTGGCAGTCTCTCCTATACACCTTGTGACACTCTCTTACTTGTAACAGTTGCAGAAGGCATGGGTTGTTGCAATCCCTGGACACAGCATCCCAATAACAGGCAAAATGTTATATCACAGGGTGCCACAAGTGTGTTTCCTCCTCCGGGAATCTAGGCTCATTACACACCGAGCTGGACTGGAGGGATGCTAAGCCAGGGCAGGTGAATGCAATACAGGATCTTGGTTGGTGGTGAGAGCACAGGAAACAGATTTCTCAGGAGACAGCTCCTTTAACTGGGGTGGAACACAGGCTATTTAAACCTCTGGGGAGTGGGTAGAGGCTTTGGAGGTGAATGTACATCATTGACCAGAGCCAGGGTTCTGGGAATGCCTTATTTGCATAAAGAGGAATTCCGGGTGCTTGCCAGATGTGACCTTACAAAGAGAGAGGAAGATGAACCTGTAATCTAGCTGCCAGGATAAAGGGCCACCTTGGGGTTGGCAGAGGTGGGGGGTGTGAGGCTATGTGCACCTGTACATGTGGGCCCAGGGCAGAGGGGAAACAGTTCTATTCCTACTGGTCTCAAAATGAGAGGTTTTGGGGTTTGGATATGCCTCGACCTTACTCTTCCTCTGGTCTTCCCCACTTCCGCCAGTTGCATGGCTCCCCAGCTCCACAACAGGGGCTCCAGCAATATGGCGTCATGGGTAAAGGTGCACTCTGTTTGAGCTTTGAAACCTAAGTTTGATCCCCAGGACCCAAGTAAACAACATGGAAGGAGAAAATTGACTGTACAAAGTTGACCTCTGACCTCCATAGGTGCAGTGTGGCATGTGCCCGTCCCCATTATAATAAATAAAGTTTCTTTCTAAATAAACTTCAAACATCACAGAGATGACCATGTATGGGTTTTACCTGGAGAGGAAGAATAGAGAAAGAAAATGGGGAAGGGACTGAGAAAGGCGAGCTTGGGTCTTAGGTTTAAGTAAAGGGGAAAGTTACTTTATCACTACGGGAAAACATAAAGAGGGAGCAGTTAAGGGAAACTCATGTCTCTCCCCACACCGAGGTTTCACACCTAGTCTGATATCTAGATACAGGTATTTCCTAAAGGGGGGAAACATCAATATCCACAAGAGAAGAAACTTCCAGAATAATCTTACTTGTCAACCTCTTCTCTTTCAGAAAGGACTTTGGTTTTGTACCACCACAAGTAAACCTCAAAAAAAGGGTGCCTAGTGGATGAACGTCTGGCATATGCTCAGCTGCTGTGTGCTCATTAGCTCTCAGTATCTGAGCTTTGCCTTCGAGCCCCTGAATGCCCCAGCTCTGAGGTATCTGAACTTCGCCTTCGAGCCCCTGAATGCCCCAGCTCTGAGGACCTTCATGTTCGTGCAAAACAACTTATCACAACCAACCCAGCACTGAGTCTTAGAAAGTAAAGATAAAGCTGTTGGTATCTTTGTGCCTTAGAAAAATATCTTGAGGCCGGGTGGTGGTGGCGCACGCCTTTAATCCCAGCACTTGGGAGGCAGAGGCAGGCGGATTTCTGAGTTCGAGGCCAGCATCGTCTACAGAGTGAGTTCCAGGACAGGCAGGGCTATACAGAGAAACCCTGTCTCAAAAACCAAAAAAAAAAAAAGAAAGAAAGAAAGAAAGAAAGAAAGAAAGATATCTTGATATTAACATGACTATAAACTAAAGGTGTCAGAAGGAGAAGGCTTTAGTGCAAGAAACAACAAGCATGACATCAAGTATTGTTCAATGCCACACACTTAGTGCTTGTGAGTAAGGTGATCCAACCAAGCTTTGTCTTCAGAGACCCCCTCCCCCTCCAGGGCAAATGGCAACCACCTGTCAGCGGCACTGTCAGCTTTCTTTACTCTTAGGCGTGTTCTCCAGGCATGGTCCTTCCCATGTGGTCCTCTCAAATGAGAACTTCTAGCAGAAACAGTGCTGTGTCTCCTTGCCCATGGGACAGGACTGACCCTTGGACAGTTTCATTCACAGTTTAAAACAAAGATTCCCCCCCAGTGTCACTTACAATGGAAACCAACCTTTATCATGCTGATTGAAAGACACCGGGATCAAGAATGCTTAGGGTGTGGTTGCTACCAAATTCCATTGATATTATAAAATATATTTATACAGGTACTGGGTAAACTTTTAAAACACATAAAATTCCATATCCATTGCTATGGCCTTGATGTTTCCTGTCAAGACCTATGTTGAAATTGAATCTCTATCATGAGTTAGTAGGAGAGTGGTTCTCACCTGTGGGTCGAGATCCCTTTGGGAGTCAAATGACCCTTTCTCAGGGGTCACCTAAAATCATCAGAAACATCAGATGTTCATATTACAATTCATAGTGGTAGCAAAACTACAGTTATGAAGTAGCAACCAAGATAGTTTTATGGTTGGAGGTCACCACAGCCTGAGGAACTGTATTGAAGGGTCTCAGCATTAAGAAGGCTGAGAACCACATGGTATTCGGAGGTGAGACTTAGGAGGTAACGGAGCTTAATGACGGTAGAGAGCCCTCGTCCCTTAGGACTGTGCCTGTATAAGACAAAAGGGTAAAGCCAGGTTGGCACCTCATACCTACCATCCCAGCACTGAGGGAGCTGCGGCTGAGGACTTAGACCCTCATTCGTAAGTGTGAGCAAACAACTAGAAACCTGCAAAGAACCAATTAAAAACAAACAAGTGATTTCCTGACATGAAGAACATCTGGAAGACGGCAGCAGGAGCATCCGTTCAAGCTCAGCCCTCCTCTGTTCAGCACAGGACCCCAGCCCAGGGAATGATGCTCTCATAGGTTAGGCCTTCCCACCTTAATTAAACTAATCAACAGAATCCCTCACAGGCATGGCCCGAGGTAAATAAGGCCTCACAGATGTTCCTCATGGCTCATCTCCTAGGTGACTACAGAGCTGACAACATTAACCATCATAGGGATGTAAGACTTTCAGGCATTTGTTTCCTTTACTCCCTTGTTGGAGGTTGGGGAGCAGTCAACACTTTCTTAACAGTAATGCTGATTGCTTATTTGCCTCTGCTCTGATGAGAAGGGTTATGGGGTCTGCTTAGATCCAATACAACTCAAATTCCAGGTCTATGGCAATAACAAAAAAATTTATCATAATTAAGCATCTCTTGATTGATCAGGGATACAGAACAGACTCTAAAGCTGAACTGTGACCCCAAGTCAGAATGTCACAGAGCTTTTAAGCTTGAAATCTACAAATATCTGTGCCAAGTTACAGTTACATTTTCCATCCATCAGGATTTAGGGATAGGGGACTTTCCTAGAAATGTTCCTTTGTGGAATACTTCTCCTGTTCCCATTGGTTGGTTTGCTCAAATGCGGTGGGACAACCTGCCTTAGCATTCATGTCTCAATTTGCCAACCAGAATGTCAGTTATGCATGTAGATGTCTCTCTCTGTCAAGCAGGGTGTTGGTTACCCAAGGAGGTCTTGGGAACTTAAACTTTATCTGGCCACTATTCAGTATGGAAGCTTTACTCAAAATGGCTTTAATTTGGTTCCTTCTTACAGAAAAAGTAGATCCGTGTTTCCATGAGAGAGCAGCTTTTCTCTCCTCCTTTAAGGATCTTCGTGGAGCTGAGTGGCAGCCTTCAGCACTTCCTCATATATGACCATTAAAAAAAAAGTGACCAACAGTCTAATACATCTATTTGGTATATTTGGTAGACCTTACTGGAGCAGAAAAAAATAGACTTAAAATGAGTATCCATAGGACTGAGGATGGATTTGGGAGGTAAGAGACAAGACAAAGGCAGGACGGAATCCCAGGACTGTGGTGTATGGAGTGTGTTATATAAAATGGAAGTTCCAAAGAAGGAGTGTGGGACTGCATAAGGGTATCCTGGGTCATGGTTGAGCAGGTACTTAGAACCCCGAGATTCTCCATGGAATTCTGCGTGAGAACCGGCAGGAGTTCGGTCCCTCCCATCATCTAGGATCCTGAAAACAGTCACATTTCCATAGAGTCACATAGGCCAGGCTATAGGCCTCAGGCCCTAGAGATTTACATACTAATGAAGGCCAGAGGGCAGAGCAAATTAAACATTCCTCCCTCAGATCCTCCCCCAATCCTCCCCCTTTCTCCCTCCCTATATAACTCGGGACTGCCCTGAGTTTTGGGGGGGTACGCCTAGATCCATCTATTATCCGTCATGACAATAAATCTTTTTGGAACCAAGGACTTCCTCATGTTACTGGGGCCTGCCGCCGCCAAGGCCCTCAGGCCGCTGGAACCATAAGATCTCCCTCCCTAATGTGGGACCCGCCACGGCGGCGGCGGCCTTTTTAAATTTTCCCGACAAAGGAGCAGGGTGCAGTTGGAAGATGAGTTACAGTTTAACTGCATGAGTTTGAGGTGCAACTAGGGAGCCCTAGAAGAGACATGGCTGAGCATTAGAACATGAGGCGCTGAGGACAGATGAGACACCATGAAGCTGATGACACAGATGGAAACTGCAGCTGTAGAGTGACTCTAACCATCTGGACAGACTGTAGCTAAGGATGGAAACCTAAAGAATTCCATCCTTTGCATGTGAAGGAGGAGAAGGACTTGGGATGGAAAGTGGTCCAGCAGTTAGGTGATAGAGCAAACCACCAAGAGTGATGCAGAGGAACAGGCTTTTCCTGAAGGCAGAGATGGCCCCAGGCACAGAAAGATTGGCCCTATCACCTTGACTACTTCCCTTCTCCCACCCACTCACCCAGCAGTGGCCCAGTCCTCAAGCCACGCTCCTGTCTGTCCCTCAGATGGTCACAAGTAGGTAGAGATTCCTTCTAATTTAAACAGATGTCTAATTTAAACAGGAGGCAAAATCCTCTAGACATGGCTAGTCTGTATAAGAAGTTAAAACCGTAGAATGCTGCCCAAGATGGTAGAACACTTACCCACCACTAGAGATCACTGTGGGTCCCTCTTAACACTGAAATTAGGTTTCAAAGTAAGCTAAAAGGAACTAGTGAAGCCTTTCAAGGAAGCAGAGATGCTCTCAATGGCTGTCATCAAACACGAGTAACATGAGAGCCAACCAAGAACAGAAGAAGTAAGTTTATCAGAGAATTAAGAGTGGCAAAGAACAACAAACCCAATGGTCTTGCTTAGGCACGTGCATGGAAGGGCTCCTTAAGAGGGCAGAAGGTCTCTTGCGGTTGGCCACACGTTGAAAGCCTCACAGCCAGTGTAATGAAGTGGCTGAGATCTACTCTATGTTGTGAGCTGGAAGAGACCTGTGTAGTCTCATTTCTTATCTAACCAGGTTGGGTCTGGCAGCAGGTCCAGGCTAAACATCCCACGGCAGGCTCAGACATGTATGCTGGACCTTCCCATCCCCAAAACTGCTTCGGTTTATTTGGGGAAGCTAAGGACAAGGATTCTATGAGAAACCACTAATTACAGGTGGCTTTAGGGACTCATAAAAAATTTTTGATCATACAGTGTTTCAGGACTGAATCTGATATTTTTTAGACAGGTTCTCACTATGCAGCCCAGGCCAGCCTGGAGGTCCCGAGATCCACCTGCCTCTGCCTCTCTGCCTTTCTCCCTCTCTATCTGTCTCTCTGGCTCTGGCTCTGGCTCTCCACTACTGGGAATGAAGGTGTGTGCCCATACCCAGGCTACATAATATTCCACTGTGCACTGTCTGCTTATTTAAGGGGGACACACACACCACAGTGTTCATGTGGGCATCAGAGAACATTTCTCTCCATCTACCTTTATGTAGGTTCCGGGGATTGAACTCAGGCTGTCGGGTTTTTACAGCAAGCACCTTTGCCCACTGAGCTCCTTTGCCAGCCCTGTGGTGGATATTTGAGTTATTTCCTCCTGGTATTACTTTCTCTCCATATGACAGAGTACTTGACAAGAAGCAACTTAAGAGAGGAAGGATTTATTCTGACTCACAGCTCTAAGGTAGTCAAGGCAGGGAAGGGAGAGTAGTAGACGCCAACCGCGGCTGTGGTGGGAGGAATATGAGGCCATTTATTCACATCTTGTTGGTCCAAGAAAGCAGAGAGACACAGGAAGTGGGACCAGCCTATAAACCTCAAGGCTCATCCCCCAGTGACTCACCTCCTCCAGCTAGGACTCACCTCCCAAAGGCTCCATAACCTCCCAAAGCACCACTGTCAACTAGAGATCCAGTATTCACTGCCTTTGGCAGGAGCCACTGACAGACATTTTAGAACCAAATAATACCATGCTGTCGTGGCCTCCATAGGTACACGGTCATCTGATAATGCCAATACATTCAGCCCAAGTCTTAAAATTCCCAGAGTCCTAACGGTTTAAACATTATCCAAAGGGTCCAAAGTCTCTTCTGAGACTGAAGGAAATCTCTTTTGTTAACCCCTATTAAATCAAAAGAGGACTTACTTCTTTCTAGCATACAATGGCACAGAACACAGATTTCCATTACTAAAGGA